AAGCAGGCCGAGTTCGCGGTCGTTAGCACATGTAGCGGCTAGATAATCACAATACAAACGCTATATCTAAATAGCGGCTCCCAAGTCGTCCTACAGGCGCCGCAATCAACGGAACCGAGCACGAAAAAGGACGGTCCAAATGATTTGGCGCGCACTGTAATCTCTGCCCGTTAATATAGTATATCACGGCGAACATGTAACATCGTAAAAAGTGCATAATTTGATGATGTGATCTCTAATACGAGTATTAATTTGTCGAGCTAACCTAAGCTACACGTAATTGTGGGTAATAAGTTGCTAACGTCGCGTCGCCGACGACTCGTCGTATAACATACAATGTCATATTCCGAATTCCCAGTATATTTTACGCAAAAAATTTAGTATTCAAACACTATCGAATGTACTGTTGACGTTTGCCTGATATTAGCTCAGACGTAATTCGTCGGCACGATTATTTGCTCAAAGTGGTAATATCGTATTGTGTATTTAATCGTCTAGCCGCTGGACCACTTTCTTAGAATCAACATCAACTTCGGTTTAGTTTTTCATTGTCCCCACTCCTTTAATTGTGTCCCATGTAAGGAAGAATAAGGAGGAAGTAACCCATGGGGTACTATTACAGTGTGACAGCAAGTGACAATTGCAGGTCTTACAGTAAGTGACAAAGCAACGGTAGTTTCAAGTGAGAGGTGTGAGTAAATCTCGTGTTTCCATCGCGTGCATTGTTGCACGAACGTTGACCCAGCTGACTTCAGAATAATCCGTGTGGGGCCTCGCTTCGCTACATACGTCCCGGTATAAACGAGAGCGACGACGTCACCCGATCTGACTTTAAAATCGAACGGGATTCTGCAACAGCGAGCAATACCCTTGGTATATAATCCCAGGTCTGACCCTTTTGTTAGATTTCCTCTAAGAACTTACTATCAAATTCACCTCCAACAATCAGTTCTTCACTCCGACCCTTCATTTCTTGCCCTGCCGCACGACGATTGCCAGCGATGAACCACATGCCCACGTCTGTGGCAAATAAGCAAGAGATAAACAATGTGGTCTCTGAGATCGTTGCTGATCACGCTGCAGCGCGGCCGGCTAACACGGTACCCGAACTTTGGGCTGCGTGGGCGACTCGCAACGCGGTTGTTGTGTTCCTGGCGTGTTGTGTTCCTGGCGACTGTTTTGCGATGCTTTTTGGACGATATGAACGCTCGTGCAACACAAACGCATGCTACCAAGCGCTGTTCGGACGCACCTGGTCATGCATGGCAACGACATATTGATTCGTCGGGAGTTTCCGTGAGTTGATCGCGGTGGCAACACAAACGCATGCTACCAAGCGCTGTTCGGACCCACTCGGGCATGGTAACGGTTTGAGCTGGGGAAGTTGTTGAGTACTACTACTCCGCTTTCACCTGTGGAAACGCACGAGGCTGTCACATCATACTAATGTTAGTAGCTGGTCTGAACCATAAAATTGGTTCAGTAGGCCTGGGTACAGGCGAGATTATGAGTCGTTTTCAGTTGATACAAAACGCATCTGAGCACGACGGCCTCACTGTCATTCGTCATGCTCAGTACTGGAGACAACTATGGACGTCCTCACTCGTGCTCAGCTCAATGGGCGCTCCTGCGCCTGTGGAACAGTTGAAAGGGGCATTTCACGCAATACATAGCTCAGAGAAGGCATCGCTGCCAAGCCTTGGCCAATCTGTACAGCAACGGATAGAATGCAACTGCCAGTAAAAAAAAGGTTAATTGATAGTTAAGCAGGATAAGGGGAAAAAAACAGGCAAAGAGAGTATAGGATATTTAATTGGACAAAATATTTACGATTTATCTGCTAAGTGAATAAGTTTTAAAGCAAAATTGGAGGCAATTTATGGTGCACCTAAAACGTAGTGTTGAGGGCTTTGTTGACAACTTCTCTAACGGTTGTGTCCTTGATCGACTCCCACGCTTGGATGGTTCTCTTGATGGTGGCCACCCTCTTCTCGTGCGCCGTCATTGCTTTGCCCTTTTCTTCCATCCACAGACTTCGTAACTTGGCCTTTAAAGGGCCCATCACTCCAACGTCTAGCGGTTGGCACACCGAAGTAGCATTTTTAGGCAAAGCTTGAAGCACCGATACCAACTCGCCCGCTACAATACTGCTGAGACGTGGCAATCCAGGTTGTCCACCAGAAGAGCGGGTGGCTCAGTAATGTCGTAGTGCAAAAGAGAGCGTAGATAAAATGGCCAGACACGAGTGCCCATCCATGCCTTCTTTTGAACAGTGTAAACGTGGCCTAAATAATAACAAAATTAGTTATAAATTATAATTTTTTTAATTTTAAATTTACCTTTCGGGTAAGTCGGTAGCTCCTCTTCCTCAATTGTACCGTTTGGCACGCCTCTCACGATGATAAGTAAGGGTAGTTTCTTACCATCCGCGCGAATAGTACACACTACCGTCATTCTTGCAGAATGTTTTTCCTGGGCAGATACTGTAAAATCTGTGATAGTGTCCCGTGGGGTACTATTTGAGAATGGGGTTTTATTAGAGAGTGGGGTACTAGTAGCAGCAAGAGCAGAAGATGTCAAAGTGTGAGTCATGCTGAGTCGGGTTGTTCCCGCCAAAAGGACTGGAGTAGCTCTGCTACAGCGTAAGTTCGGCGATGCTAACTACGAAATCGTTACCACCGTCCGAGTCGCTATCCTCCTCCAGGACTTGGTCAGCTTCGACTGATGTGGCCGCATCAGCGTCACCACGCTGGTTCTCCAGAGCTTCTTTGATAGCCTCCCCGTAGATGGAATGCTTTCTCAGCGCAAGTTGATCATCGGCTCCGAGGAAACAGCGTCGAAAGCTAGTGACGATTGTTTCGGCAGACACCGCCTTCCAAGCGCGAGTCAACCAGCTGTGCACCACCGTGTTGCGAGGAGCTTTGACGTTTCCACCACGAGTGTAATCAAAGTCTCCGATCAGCTTCCATTCGTCGGAGCTTTCCATGAGGTTGTCCTTTAGAGGCTTGAACCACGCGGAGTCAGCAGGTTGCAAGTGGGCCGTCATACCTCCTGGAATAGCGCAACACAATATTCGTCGAGCACGTAAGTGGCCTTCGACTGGTTAGAGATATGGCTGCGCGCTCCTTGATGACCGACAGCTTTTCTTTGACGGTGAACTTGCGCTTCTTCATTGGACTCCAAATTGACAATGGGAACTCAGCACAAAGACGTCATCGGAGAAATTTAGGCGCTACTGGATTTGTTAGCTTGCGAAGCAGGACCAACTGATAATCGAATGTGAACGAAGTACGATATTGAGGTGGGGTACTAGTGCGTAGCTCCTCGATCTGAGTAGCGGAGTACTATTGAAGAGTGGGGCACTAACGCAAGTCCCCCACTCAGATGAGAAAATATTTTGGGGAGAGGTACCATTAAAGGGATGGGGCACTATCACAGATTTTACAGTAGTTTAGCAGGTTTACCTTTCGGTGACAGGATTTTAGACGGCGGTGTATCATAGTATATCCCAGTCTCATCGGTATTGTAGATTGTACCAGCAGCATATGAGCCAAAGTTCTGTTTGAACTTATCGGCAACCTCTATTTGCACCTTCTCAAGATCTTCGACTTTCTCCTTTTTAAATTTGCAAACATAAAATTGATAGGTTAAAATTATTTATAATGTTATAAAAAAACGAAAATCCAAACCTTTAAACCGCTAGGAGTGCGCTGGACGAAGCCTTGGCGGTACGCGAATCGCCGAAGTAGTCGCAGCAGTGACTCGTATGCAGTGCTCGCGTCCTTGTTGCCTTTAACATGGGTCACCAGCCAATCGGGGTAACTCTCACGCACGAAGACGGCCATTGAGCGTGCCGTGAGTGGGAAACGGTCCCGCCTAGTGTCCTTCATGTACGTTATCAGCTCAATGCCAAAAGGCACGCTCTCCGGTCGCCCCCGCGCTCTTGAGAGCGTTTTTTCTCTGCCTTCGAAGGCAAAAATGGCTTCTTTCTGCTTACGCCAGTCACACAGTGTCCACCGCTGGACGCCTTGCGTTCGCGCCACCTCCCGCTCACTCATTCCTTCGGTAGCACGGAGTATCTCCCTTTTCTGCTTAAAGGAGTAGTGCTTACGCCGTTTCGAGGTGCTCGATGCGGCAGCACCAATTAGCGCTTCAACTGCATTAAACAATGCGGCGTCGCTTGCCTCGTCGGGGTCTGCGGTTGCCTCCATTTTTCCAACTGAAAGGCTAAGAATTAAAGTAGTTGGTCTTTAATTTGATTGGATAATATTTTGTTGAACTGTACAGTTTTGCAGCTCGTTTTTTGTTCGTTTTGGGATTTGTTAGATGGCGGCAGTTGCATTCTGTCCGTCGCTGTACTCAATCAAGTTAGACCGCGACGGTGTCGTTTACAACTCGGAGGACGTTGCTGGTGCGGGCTTTGAAATTGTGCCTAAGAGCTCTGAAGAAGAATCCGATCACAGTCGCAACATCTTAAGTGGCGGCGAGACAGTAATCAAGACAGAAAAGAAGGACGTCACTTGGCTAGCTGCAATTGCACGCGATAGACTTGCCGCGCTGCCGACTAAGTGGGAAAAGGATAAACAGCACAAGCGAATAATAATAAAAGAGCAATCCATGAGACAGATAGTGGTCAAAGCGAAGATGCTATCAGAAACGGGCAGCTATGGTGACTGAGCACTCCGATTGCGGTGGGAGATCTAATTAGCGAATATTGTGGTATACTGACGACTACGATATCCACTCGCAGCCAGTTCACTCTTCAACTGAAGACAAGACCCTCACGTCGTCAGAGAGTTTACATCGAGCCTCGTAGTTGTGGGGCGTATTCTCGTTTTGCGAACCACAACTGTTGCCAAACTGTTGCTTTCTTGAGCTTCGAAACCTCAGAGATCTGAAAATGTTCCTCGTGGTAATGCGTGATATTGCAACAACAAAAAAGAGCTGACGGTCAACTATGGTAACCAGGTATAGTTCAGGTGCCAATGCGATGCCGATTGCTGCGTATCAAATTCCACAGATGATTTGCGTTGCAATAGCTCTTGAGCACATGGATTCAGAAGCAGTGGGCCAGTTAGGGAAGTGATATCACTTTTATGGACAATTACCGCACATGACATTTGTTGCCAGAGGGGACAATAATCGTCTTCAGCGCTAGTTAACTTCAATCGGCTCATTTTCGCAATACCGTGTCTACTTGAATTGAGATAAATGACTGGAGAACGCGTTCAACGATAATCCAGATTTTGTTCGTTCAGTTTTGATGCGTTCTGCGGCATCCTCACAACCAAGGCCATCTCTTGTGCCTGCATGATGACAGCGTCGTAGTACTTCTTACGTCTCAGATAGAATAGAGCCTCTGTTTTGTCTTGCCGGCAGCGAGTCCCGACTTCGTGTTGGCATCACGATTGATTCTTGGCCAGCGATACCTACTGTGTACTCGCGGCATACTTCTACTACAGCCTTGAGTGATCTGCCTAACCGGACTTCGGGTATAGTCTTTTGTCCACATATGCATGTAGTATTAGATGTTGAAGTTGGCGTGACCGACGTACTCTTCTGCCGTGTAAAGATGTAGCTGTCTTCCCATCAAAGTACCAGACACTTGTTGAAAGCTCTTTTAGGGTCCCATCACCTGCCACAAACGCATCAATGCGCCCGTTTAAAGTTTCAAAACCCGCTTTCACCGCTGCAGCAATTTGAGGCACAACGATTTGAAGCGTTTGAAACCTCGGGCTGATTAAACGAAGGCATTAGTACCGTCATTTCACGCTCGAATTCTGTGAGCTCTGGTGTTTGAAAGAGCTTGTGACTCCAAAGTCGATGATTTGGATATTTGCGCCGTAAAATATCGGAGTCTTGCAGGAATATAACACGCATAGTCTTGAGCATTTTCAAGAACGCAC